GAATAATTCTTGACAGTCGACTCAGAGTTGATCCTCGTCGCACAAACAATGGAGATTGACTTCTCTAGTTGTGTGCTGACCAGTTGTGTCTGGCCAGTGCGAACTTTCAGCATAAACGTTGGCATCGCATAACCTGGTGGCCACCAACTCCAAATCAACGGTGGATCCAGTTGGATCACGTGGCCACCGATAGAGAGCCACAGTTCGAAACTGCCGTTCCTTCCGGGGCACACAACTTGATTTCAATCATGCTTTGGTGTGAGCACGCCTGACATTTCGTTACCCTACAGGCCCGCAAAAGTCAGCGAGAGGCGTATCAATGCATCATCTTCCAAAAAACACCATATTTCAGCAGTATCGATCTGAGCTAACTCAACAACTCTACAATAAATCAACACTGCACTGGTAGCAAGCACGTGGATGAGACATGACAGAATTTGAATGGAGCTATGCTTGTCCGACTTCCCTGATACAAACAAGTGACCACTGGACATCGTTGGTATCGCTAGTCCTGATCGATGCCAGGAAATCCGTACCGTCAGGCAATCAGTACAACGGCGCACGCAAATCCCTCAAACAACAAACAGTGAGAAACCTAAGGAAAGACGGTGAGCTTCGGTAGGCATCGGAAGCTCGGGAGATGGAAAAAGCTTTTGTTAGTCGTGCACCATACGGATTGAAACAAATGACCGGCCAGAGGAAAGCTACGGTCAGTGAAACGATAAGTCGGGAAACTGCCGACTGGAAAGATGAGCTTAACTTTTCGAAGAAAAGTTTAGCTTGCATCCTGCAACACAGCCTTCGGGGATGGTGCGTACGGTCGAATGGAATGTGAACCTTAATCACCCGTCAGAAGAAATAAAATACGAAATATCCATACTGAAGCGTGAGCAGGCACCACGACAAACGGTCTGCATCCAACTCTCTTCAAAGACAGAGAGCCCCTGCGTACCTATCTAACAAAACTGATTGCTGTACTATAGAGTGAAGAGAAAGTGATTTCAGAATGGGACATGTCGACAGTTATTCCTGTCTTCAGAAAGGGCACGCGGATGCTGTGTGAAAATCACCATGGCATGAGTCTGGTTGCTGTGACATCGAAGGTGCTCTCTGTTCATATCCTTCGAAAGTTAACTGGACACAGGGAGAGATTGATCTGTGAAAATCAGGACGAGTTCCGTCCTTCAAGAGGATGCATCAATCACATTTTCACCCTCCGATAGATTGTGGAACAGCAACACTGCCTCCAGCAAACAACAGTGTTTGTCTTTGAGTTGAAAGCTGTCTTTGGTGCTGTGGGTCGTCGGACACTGTGGCAATATCTGTGGTGTAAAGAGAGATCCGTGAGTAGCGCGGTAGTCACAGGGGAATCAGTGTAACCCAAGTCGTAACGGGTTTCTTGGCGTTAGTTGCTGTTTGTCGCCTATGGTGGCCTGTGAAACATTGATTTTAGAGCAGCAATTGATAGAATCTCCAAGCCCCATCAGGCGCCGGAACAAAGCCATACGTAGAAATGACCAATGAGTTTAGCACTCCTGAACCTCCATGGCGCATCTGACTCGACTGACCTCTCTCCTGGATTCTGTGGAATAATAAGTCCTTTATTCTCAGACTTTCGGGCATGTGAAAGAATACAGAGAGCTCTCCAAAAGCTCCCTTATACAATGTGGCGTCCGTTAGGTGTGTTCACTCTCCCCATCCCTATTTAATTTCGTGATCGATGAGATAATTAGACGGACGCTGGAACGTTTTCAAAGCCCTTGTGTTCAGACGGTTCCTGACAAAAACCTTTTCGATCCAAAATATACAGACTATATCCTGCCTGTCTGCGAAGGGGGGAAGTAGACGGAGTTAATTTAGGATGAACTAACCATAATCTTTTAGCATGCGCTTCGCCTGCACGAAAATAAGGGTTATCCACTCTCTCCGCTCCTATCTAATTTTGTGATCGACGAGATAGTTAGACGAACGCTGAAAGGTATTGAAAACTTGATGGTCAAAATGCTGATGATGAAATCTTTTTTGCTCTGGAATACGCAGACGACATCCTTCTCGTGTTCGAGAAGGGAAGAAGACCCGAGTGTTTTTGGATGAACTGACGATTTACTTGCCTTGGAAGTTGCAGTAGTTTCGATTGTATTGTGACATCAGTTCGATGCAGGATTCTCCAACCCTCGGGTCATGTGTGTTTATTCGAAACATTTATGGCGTCACAGAGGTATATCCCAGAGTCTCGGTGGACGTGTGCATCAGGCTAGAATGTGGGATGTTCTCTCTATGGCTGTGAGAAGTGGCCCTCCGTGAGCAGTGTAACTGAGACGCCTTCAGGTCTTCGGACATCGTTATCTCAGAACCGTAGTTGGTGCCGTCTGGTGGCAGGAACTCCGCAACTTGTCAATTAGAAGGCGAATGTTTGGTTGTACAACAAGAATTTAGGCATGTTTTGTGTATACTCAACCATTATTTGCTAAAGGTAGTCACCTTCCTCGCAAGCAGTTCAGAATGACGCAGGCAGATTAATAAGCACTCTTCGAAATGACAGGGGGATGTGAAAGATTACAAGTCCGTGTGTTATCAGTGCGACTGGCCTTCCAGCATGGGGTCCACACTTTCTGGTTGAAGATGCTGTAAGATAAGTCTGTTAACCGATGTCACTGTCATTCTTGTCAGTTTCTATCCAGATTGCCTGAATGAGCATCCGGAAATATAAACCGATTGTGGTGGGCCATCGTTAATTCCCTTCCCCATCCAGCTTTACTGCTTTCTTAAAAACGGATTTCAATTAAATAATGGTTTTGTTGCAGGGAAGCATCAGTGTTGAACGCTGATTTTGTAGTGTTCGTAATGACTATGGTGATGGCGTAAGCCTAACAATCTGGGCAAATAGGAATCATCTTCCTGTCAGTATTCCAGCCCTCATGCTTCCTTCGGGTGGCGTGGCTGTTAGGCACCAAGAGGGTACCACAGTGGAACGATTTTTTATGGGCTCTACTGGGGAATTCATTCGTCGACCTCAATACGTTTTGCCAAAGAATGGACGTGTATTTCATCGGCGTTATTTAATCCAAGACGAATTTTATAAACTTCGCGATCGTTATCTTACCGATCGCTGTCAGTATGCCCTCATGCTTCCTTCGGGTGGCGTGGCTGTTAGGCACCAAGAGGGTACCACAGTGGAACGATTTTTTATGGGCTCTACTGGGGAATTCATTCGTCGACCTCAATACGTTTTGCCAAAGAATGGACGTGTATTTCATCGGCGTTATTTAATCCAAGACGAATTTTATAAACTTCGCGATCGTTATCTTACCGATCGCTGTGTTCCCCGTCTTCTTCGCTCTGCTACCGCTGAGGTTGTCTAAAAAGCCGTGCGTCAGTGCATGCCTTTGAACCGCTGAAACTCAAAGCACATCGGTGTTTCCGGACAGCTAATCCAAGGACTAGGCATGTCGCAATAAGATTTACACATGTGAAAATGTATTCATCTTAGACAAATGCATTGGGTGTACCCGATGTCACAGGCCTGTGACGGGTGATTTATCACGGTGAGCAGCAGGGGCAAGGTAAGCGAGCTACCATACCGGTCAATCGTTTCCTCAATTTCTCAATTGATTGTAAAACGAAGGCGATCGCGCAGGAACTAACTTCTGCTTATGGGTGGCGTCAGCTCTTTATTCGATCAGCTCGTCTTCTAGTTTGCCCCAAGAATTAACGTTATGAGATTTCGTGTTATAGGAAGCACCAATGACCGTGGAGTCCGTTCTAATGCCTGGGTAACGCCGTGATTAACATCACGGGCTTCCGATTCGATGACCCGGGTTCGAATTTCTGCATAAACACTTTCATAGTAGCTGCCAGTTCCTGACTCAAAAATTGTGTACATTTGTTTTTTCATCAATTTATGTTATGCATGTTATGTTACGTATCTGAACGGGCACAATCAACTACTATACTTAACTTGAAAATAAGCGCACAGATCCTCAGCTATGACGCGGACCCAACCACTCCTAGCGCGGAAAGAGAAGATCGGAACTTCGGAGGAGACCTTTTACTGCCTCAACCAAAAGCAAAAATATATATATATATATATATATATATATATATATATATATATATATATATATATATATATATATATATATATATATATATATATATATATATATATATATATATATATATATATATATATATATATATATATATATATATATATATATATATATATATATATATATATATATATATATATATATATATATATATATATATATATATATATATATATATATATATATATATATATATATATATATATATATATATATATATATATATATATCAGTAAATAACAGTAAATCAGTTAACGCACACTAAGTCCAACTGGCCAATAGGAGAAAGCGCGCTCTTTTTGGACTAAAGCGCAACATGGCAGAAAGGGGGCGAAATTTGAAAGCTAAAATTTTTAGAAAACAAAATTGGCAATAACTCGAAAACTAAACGGTTTTTTGGGGATGCTGATATCTCCAACACATACATAGAAAGGTACTTTTTACTGTTTTCGAAGTGACTCGACTTTCCAGTTTTCGGCGTTAACTACTGCGGGGGTATTTGCGGTGATGCGGTAATTCCCAACTGCAAGGACAGTTACACTTTTATACACCATCACATGATCCTCTATCCCCACTTCAGTATAAGTTCTCAAGATCTGAATAATATTTTCCTCTTTTCTTTCCAGCGGACGTCTCCAGATCTGAATTCTCGCGTGTTTTGTGCTGATCATGGTCTCTGACTACTTGTTTTGCGGGACATGCTTCCTCAACTTTCGCTTATGTGACATCAATTTGTTTATTGAGCACAAGAAAAATAACTGTGGTATCCCTGGTTCTGGGCCAAGGTCCCCACCCGAATCTCTCAACTCTACTGCGGATGCTTTGTTTGCCAATCTGCTGGAATGTGTGCAATGTTTCCGTCGGTTTTCGACTGCTTGGCCTCTATTAATGCATGTACAGTTCGAACACCAGATGTTGTTTGCTAACGCATTTAAGCGTCAAGAGCAATACCAACAAAAGCCTCTTCAGGATCCGACGAGCTCACCACTGGCAGATTCCGGAGATAATGAAAATACTTTAGACAATGCCATTGTGCCGCAGAAACCGTCTGGTATTGAGTCGGACATGCGAATTCCCTCGACCACACAACGAGAGCAACCCTCGTCTGTTGAAACACAAACTGTCATAAGTTCATTCAGGTCACCAATGCGTTATCGACGGAAACGTGTCTATCCATCTTGTTGTACCTCACTTCAGACCTCTGTTGACGAGACAACACAAGGGTTTGTTTGCACTGCTGCCAGTGTTAGTGGCTGCAGTAATCCGGAGATTTGTTGTCCTCCCAGTACAGTTGTTTGTAACTGCCAGTGTTTATATGCCTCACCATCACAGTCAACAAGTTGCCCTGCCTGTGTGTCATCATCCCAATCTGCACTTGAATGTGTATCATGTGAGCAAAGCAAACCTGTAGAAAACAGTGTTGCTATGAAAACTTCTCCTTGCTGTTTGCCGCTCACCTGTCCAACCACGCTGTCCTCTGAGAAGCGAACATCGGACCGTTCACAGAGAGCCATCACTTCCTGTTGTCCTTGTTCCCCAAAATCTACCAAGCCAATAATGGCATCGACCGAAGCCCAGACCGATTTTGAACTGGAATTCACTGGCCCTGATTATGAGGACATAGCTATGCTCCTATCCTCTCCATTTAAATCAGACATAACAAGTCCCGTGCAGCCCGACCAGAGCGCATCAGAATCGATGCCAGATTTGAAAGGCTACACCCAAATAGACACACCAACTTCTCCACGGATGACAAACTTATCCTTCGAGGGAAACACCCCGTCCGTACTTCCCACTCGAGAACCTACCAAAACTAATCAATCTCTTGGTAACTCATCATCTGTTGTCAGCTCAGCTTCCTATCAGCCTGTGGACTCCTCAATTAACACAGCAATTACCTTTTCCGCAGCCAACCTACCTGTCACGATGATTGGTCGTGATAGTCGCATAGTGGCTTCGTCGTGCCTCGCACAAACCCCTGTGTCGACCCAGTCTCTTATCACGACACCCCTGATTTCCGGTCTCCAAATTGAAACCAATAGACCACAGTTCACTTGCGATCACTGCGGAAGAGCTTATCGACAAAAAGTGCACTTGAGAAAACACATTCTGATCCAACACGTGGGTAAAAAACCTTTTGAATGTCCCCTGTGTACCTACACCACCGTAGAAAAAAGCCACCTCACTGTTCACATCCGGACCCATACAGGAGAACGACCGTTTCGATGTCGTGTTTGTGATTATTCGTCATCACAAAATTGCACGCTAAAGGCACACTATATGCGAAAACATTCGGATAACTGCCTGTATTGTGCCAAGTGCTCGGAGAGATTTTTTACGGAGCAAGAGTTGCACAAACACGAGCGCCAATGCTTTTCCGAGAAGAAAATGACCAATTGACCTTCGTTTTTTCTCATTTTTAAAGTGTTTTGTCATGCTGGTTGCGTTTATTCTACCAGTACCACGCGAATTATCTTAACTTTTACGTCACTACCGAGTGAGCTTGGATTGCTTGCTTCAGGGATATTCTCTGCACGATTTTTAGTCACTCACCTTGAGCTCAGTAATATGCATCAAATTAGGATTCGAACCAGGTACAGTAGTTCATACCATCAGCCGATTACCACTTTTCATACTGTCCATTTGTATTCTTGAATATAATGCTGTTAGAGCACCGCACTTGTCTTTTCTCTTCATTGGTTGAACCTGATTCAATCGACCACCGGGTCACGTCTCTAACCAACCGACCGCGGACAGATGCAGATTATACCGTGTTTAGTCACGTCCACTGATGTGTTCATTCCATAGATTTAGACGTCCTTTTGACCTCATGAGTTTCTTATGTTGTCACGCGACACACTTGTGCGAGATTATACGGATTACTCACTGTTTTTTTTTTCTTAGGCCGAGCGAGGACAACATGACCTTTGGTAACCCGACTAGAGGAGCTCGGCAGTAACTTGTACCAGTCCGGCGTGAGCAAAGTAAGCGGCCATCGCCGCCACATCCACGCTGCCACGCTCTTGGGTGTAGTAAAAAAGATTCGGGCTTCCGTTTTCTGTGTGCATGACTGATCGCGTATTGTATATCTTGCCAGGGATACCTGACCAGTGATGTAGCGCTACATATACATGATCATTCGTACGGTGACCCCACCAAATAGGCAGTAGCGCCAGAGCCACCGTCCATGATGATAATATTGATTCGGAAGCTGGTGTGTGACGCATACACTGAGTACCACGACACAAGCCACATATACAATACACAGATGAGCAAAGTTCCTTCGATGAGAGACCACTGTCGTGAACCAAATCACTCGAAGCTTTGAATTGAATAATTTCATCTTCACTGACTAAGCGAAGGTTGATTTGCATAGCTCTGATGGACTAACATACCAACAGTAAAAAACAGAAAGAAAATCTAGTAATGTTGTGGAGCATAGGTAGTTCGGGTGCGCTGATTACGCTGAGAATCTAGCCTTCAGTCATCGAGCTTGTGGCTGTGACTCTGCGGTTGTTTGGTCTACAGATTCCGCATATGCGTGTTTGAAGGAAAGGCGGAAAGGCGATTAACATGCCATGATATTGAATGGATCCTGCGTCTCCCCGGCAATGCATCCTTCAATTTCCTCGCTGAAACGTTGATAAACTGACATACCATAACGTGTTTAGGACTCAACGTTTGATCTCACCCCCTGTGTGTTGAACCACCTCTTAGGGTTCACTAGCATGCATCGAGGTCTGTATCATTAAGCAGTAATGATGACGATGGTTCGATTTACTTGAGTCCAAATCCGCATATCAAATATGATTGCCCATGATGTTATGATTTCCGGGGGATGAGGGATTTTCATTTTGTGCAATATAATGGTGATAAATATTTTCACCATAGAACGACGAACTACTGTCTAGTCAACCGCAGTCCACCACAGCAAACTCGTTCTGAAGGGCGCAGAAAGCCTTGTATATTTTCCTTTCGTGACTTGATGTAACGAGGTCGAGTATCGTCAAATCCTAGGTCCCAATTTTCCAAAATAAGGATGTACCGCTACTTAATTGCCAGCCTCTGTTGTGTGCGAGCGAATAGGAGGAGGCCAAATGATGAACGGGACCTTTTAGTCAGCAAGGGTAGAAAAATCTGAAACAGATACTGATCACAAGGCACTAGTAATGTGCCACCCGAATATTGGACACTTTAGTGTTGCAGATACTGATTAGTGCAAGGCCGTCAGTGGATGTGCGCAAACACAGGGCAAGAGCTTTGGAAAAGCACGTGAAGTCTTGTCAAGCGGACCAACAAGGGTAGTGTGCAGTCACATAAAGCTAACAGTTGTTCATTGATACGGGTGAGGTTTTCGTGCTTGGTCATACAGACGTCGTTATTGTTGTGGTAACTAATCGTAACATGTAGATTGGCCACCTCGGGCACAGCAGTCCAAAAAGTTTGCGAAAGTACGTAATGGTAAGGCACAATAACACGGGGAAATGAACGGTGCGATATTATAGGTCAGCAACACAACAGATATCAGCCCCTGACTGGACATTCAATCATGAGTAGAGACCGCTCTGGTTTAGTCTGTGACCACAGCCGTCTACACACACTGAGCAATAGCAACGCGGGTGGAATAGGAGGGGAGAACAGGGGCAAAATGATGGTAAAACCCGGTGGTTAAACAGCAGACATTAAATGAAACTGCCCGACGTTTCGACCACCGAGGGTGACCTTTATCAAGGGATAACCTACAGCGCCTCTACTCTCAGGAACTAGTCAAACGGAGGACATAACAGTTGGTGGTGAGCATTGAATGTCCGACTATGCTTGAGTGTGTAGTGCATTGTCTTCGGAAATGTATGTAACTTAGTATTGACTTTGATTTTCTGCTATTCCTGAGTTGCTGCGCTACACCGTTGTGTAAATCAGTTGGGGCCGAAAAGTGTTACTATATGAGAAGTGACTTGAGCCAGACAAGTGTGACTGATTCGAGTTGAGGCTCCAGTTTTCTGTACAGTTCTTGACATGAAACACGGCGAGTGCATTATTCTTGCGTAGCATCTTCCTGAGTGCATGTGCTGTATTCAGTTTGGTACGAAAAAAAGCGGCCAAGTTTCATTCCTCTACGTAGATCCATGAGTACTTCTGTAGGCCTACTTGGCTCACAGCAAGCGTCTTCTTACGAGCGCGATCGGCGTGTTTTGCTTGGACGCTCTCTTGGCGGACGATTTGATCTCTCCACTACTCCACTGACTGCTGGATTAAACGGTAAAGTTCGTATTGATCCCTTGCAAGAACAATTATATTCGAACTGTGCTTGTTTTTTTCAGCACACTTGTTCCTGTTCCCCTATTCTACCAAATAGGAAGTTTGATTGGTTATTTATACGATGGGCAGTTAACCACTTACCTCTAGCCTACATCGCTACCGACCCTACGTATTTCTGACGTAGAAGTTGGTCTTGCCTGGTATCCAGCATAGACGGCCGCGACCCAGGTGGCTTTCAATTAAATCATGGTTGTACGGCAGCGAAGCATTGGTGTTGACTGATGTCATGCTGTCGTTGCTGACGATAATGTACACCAAGGTAGAATCGTCCACTGGTTACTTCAAATTCTGACATTGGAAACGGTTTTAAATTGGCTGCACATAGGCTTTGATAAATCATTTTTGTGCTATTTGAAATTCCGCTTACCACCAAAGGGTGGAAAACCTTTCCAAAATCTTCAGGCAGGCAATGAACGGCATAACCCGACTCATATCACAGTGGACAAAAATTGCAGAAGCAATATTGTGCCAGCTACGTGAGCAGTCACTAGTCGTTCGAGCTTGTTTGTAGACCACGCATACCAGCTGGAGTGCATTTTGCTCGGTATCTACGTCTGAGCTAACAAAGCTCACGGAAATAAAATGTCTTCTGATGTATGATAGGCAAAGTCCAGCCAACAAGAAAGTGAAACTACATTACCTACTCCCTATGACACGACCCGAAAATGCCAAGTGAATGCGGTCGTGAGAGAGAGGTGGCTATACTGTGGAGGTATGAGTGAATAAAAATACCATGCATATTCATACGGTCATACCAGATCGAGTCGTTACAAGCACGTTCGTTGGGTGGAGACAGGGTGTTGTATTGATAAATCGCATGGATCAATGAACGTCTGCGTGGACTGACAGTTTCGCATAACTTTGCTTGCCAGATCAGTTACTGCATAACCCGGTGGGTCCTGACACAGGCACAGTTTTAAGCATGCCAAATCCATCAAGGATGAAGGAACTTATAGACAAGAAAAAGTGGTGGCTACTAGACGCGGAGAACTGACCATCTAGGTAACTGAATTATCTTTCTTCTTAAACGCAATTAATACTTTTTCGCTATATCACTCTCCGCTGTAGGAATTTCGCTGACGACTATCAGGGGCGAAAGGAAACAATATCAAAACTGATTAACACGCCGCAAAAGATTGAGCATAGAAAACTGATATCAACCGAGTTTGGTATCAACCGCACCGCTTGCGTGCAACCCTCGGTTGTTTTCAGGGTGCCCTTCTTTTTTGCCGCACATTCAAATGAGTAAAATAATCTATCAGATTAAGACGTGTTTTATCCGGGTAAACCCTGAGAACATCCTAGAGGAGCTTCTACAAAAAGCGGCTTCAACGTGGTATTTTTTGGTCTAATTTAACTCTATTGGGTCTTCTCTAAAACTGGTTACAACTAATCTACATCGCCACTTCCGATCCACCGCAGTACACACTCAGAATTACTTCACGCAACGTCAATTTTAGCCGCTTCTCCGCTTTTGTTCAAGCTACTTCTGTTGAACTGTCACGCGGATGTGTTTCTTTCAGTGCCGCTCGAGTAAACAAGACATTCTTGGTTAGATTTTACTTTTGCTCAAACATTTATGGAGGCAAAACTCGAGACATCTACACTCAACTTTCGCCCAATAAACTCCCTTACAGCGCTCATCATGTAATACAATGGTGGTTTTCTAGACCTCTATCATAACGTTAAATGGGAAAGTCAAGTCCACTGCTCAGAATAGGCAGCAACCCTTGATATGCACAAAAACCTTGGTAGTTGATTAGATTGTCATTTAGCTGGTCGCTGGGCTTGGTAATCAGCTTGAAAAGGTTTACTCAACAATCTGGTTGATATTATCAGTGTTCAGTTGGGTGGGTACTTGGTCGCTGGGCTGGTAATCAGCTTGAAAAGGTTTACTCAACAATCTGGTTGATATTATCAGTGTTCAGTTGGGTGGGTACTCCCCCCTTCTTTGTACTATATATATATATA